AGAGAGAGAGAGAGAGGCTAAGAGAGAGAGAGAGAGAGAGAGAGAGAGTGGTGGGTGACTGTGGAAAGGCGGCAGGGAAGATAGCTGAGGGGCGGTACCAAAAAGGAGGCTGATCGGGGAACATCGGTGGTCAATGGAAAGGAAGGGAGTGGATGAAGTAGGAGTATTGCACCCTACGAGCTAGGGCGCTCTCCTAATCATGAACACATGTCTACCGATAAAAATTAATTACATAAATCTATGCTGAGATATCCCCTAACCATATTAAATGTATATTCTTCACAAAATATAACGCTTCAGGTGAGATATTTCGCATGCGCCTACATACTAACGTAGCCAGATTCTGTACTGACTGGTATATGCGGTGGCACCTTACATGCAAGATCTTCGTCCTATTTCTTATGAGAGATCTACTGATAGAATATTATCATATAAATCTATGCTAGAATACCTCCTCTCTATCTTAAATGCATAATCTTCTCAAAACGTTTTTCTTCTTAAGAGATATTGCCCATGCGCGAGCACTGTTTCAGGCGTGCAGTCCGGACTGAAGGCAACTGAATAACATAGGTTACCGAGAAAGAAAGAGGAAGAGAGAGAGAGAGAGAGAGAAAGAGAGAAAGAGAGAAAGAGAGAGAGAGTGGTGGAAGACTGTGGAAAGGCGGCAGGGAAGATAGCGGAGGGGCGGTTGAAAAAAAGGAGGCTGAGCGAGGGACATCGGAGGTCAATGGGAAGGACGGGAGTGGATGAAGTAGGAGTTTTGCATCCTAGGCGCTCTCCTAATTATAAACACAGATCTACCGATAAAAATTAATTACATAAATCTATGCTGAGATATCCCCTAACCATATTAAATGTATATTCTTTACAAAACATAACTCTTCAGTTGAGATATGTTGCATGCGCTTACATACTAACGTAGCCAGATTGTGTACTGACTGGTAATATACCGGTGGCACCTTACATGCAAGATCTTCGTGCTATTTCTTATGAGAGGTCTACTGATAGAATGTTATTATATAAATCTATGCTAAAATACCTCCTCTCTATCTTAAATGCATAATCTTCTCAAAACGTTATTCATCTTGGGAGATATTGCGCATGCGCGAGCACTGTTTCAGGCGTGCAGTCCGGACTGAAGGCAACTGAATAACATAGGTTACCGAGAGAGAGAGGGAGAGAGAGAGAAAGAGAGAAAGAGAGAGAGAGAGAGAGAGAGAGAGAGAGAGAGAGAGAGAGAGAGAGAGAGAGAGAGAGAGAGTGTGGAGACTGTGGAAAGGCGCGAAAATTGCGACGGGCGGTTGATAAAAAGAGGCTGAGCGAAGGACATCGGAGTCAAGGAAGGAAGGTGGAGTGAGAAGTAGGAGTTTGCACCTACAAGATCGGGCGCTCTCCTCATCATAAACCAGTCTACTGATAAAAACTGAATTGTTTTCAGCAACGCTATTAAATAACAAAAAATATACTTTATTATGAACGTTTTACGAACGTTAAGCAACGTTTGTAGCAAACGTTTTAAATAACATAAATATAACTTTATTAGAACGTTTTTTCGAACGTTAATAAAACGTTTCATTCGTACTGACCCATAATATAACGAGTTAGAAACTTTGCCAAAACGTTATGTGTTAGCTGGGGCCAAGTCATTTCCTTTGCGCGACAGGTAGCGACGTGTCCGCGCCTATCTCTGAAGCAAACGAAAGAGAGAGAGAGAGAGAGAGCAGAGGAAGAGAGAGAGAGAAGAGAGAGAGAGAGAGAGAGAGGAGGGTCCTCCCCCCCCTTTGGCATCCGAATACTCTCTAATTTCAGTGGCATCTGAATACTCCATAATTTTGGCTGGACATCTGGAATATCTATTACACAGTGCTATATTGCCGCGGCAGCCGGCGTTATATATGACGGCTGCCGGGCACGGTCTTCGATTTCTAAATGTCCGGCAGTTTTTATATTTTTAGCGTTATCTCAAGTAACAAGGTTTAGGGTAGAGTTAGGATTAGGGTTAGGGTTAGGGTTAGGTTTAGGCTAGAGTTTAGGTTTTTGTTAGGTTTAGGGTTAGGGTTAGAGTTAGGTTAAAGAACTGCGGGCATTTAGCAAAACGAAGACCGTGCCCGGCTGCCGGGCAT